GGACAAAAGTCTGCAGGGAACTATGCAAAAACGCATCTTCGTACGGGCAGCCCGTGCGTTGGCCAATTATTTTAATTTTAGAGACCCTTGCATTTGTTGAGGCGGATCGAAGCAGAGTTGTGTCATTTTAGACATTTTCGTTTGTTTCGAGGTCAGATAATGTAAATTTATGCTACCAGTTGAACTACTTTCAGGCCGAGCTATTTCCGGAACATGCATATTATGCTGTATCAATTTTGCGAGAACTTTCTGCTTGCCGGCCATCTTTGCAAACTCGCCTTGTTCAGGCATTTTCGCCACTTGCTGTAGAACTGATTGATAGTTGCGCTCGGTTGACTTCTGTGAAAGTGAACCCTATCGATGCTTCTCCACTGGATCCGCCCTGTTATCACGGTTTCGTTCTTTTGTAGTGTAGCAAAATTTTTCAAATTCCTCATGGTACTCGTGTAACTTAAATAGTGTGTTTATTAAAGTGTGAAAAGATATGAACATGTTGCGAACTTTGCTAATACTTTGACCTACTTGGATAGAAATTGGATTATGTTAGTTTTTTTCGAGGCTGGTGCAGATGCGAAGAAATCATATTTAGAATTTAAAAAGCAACAATTCTGAGTGTAAGCTTTTGGAAATAATTTTGATTGTGAAACGCTGAATGTTGGGAGCAGAGCGTTTTGCTCGTAATTATAAAATGGGTTTTGGGCTCTTTAAGAGGTTTGTATTCAATTTAATTCGAAGTTTTTAGGTGTCAGTGGCTTGCCACTAGAGAAAATACGTGGTGAAACAGTACGGTCATTCATCGAAATGTGCTCATCAAGTTTGGAATGTGACCCGAGCCGAGCTAATTTAGCGTACTTTTTTTGTGGATTCAATATGTCTGATTTGAAGAATTCAATAATCGAAGATCCAGGCAAGGCGTTACTTGGATTTAATCTCTGGACAAAAAAACAGCTATTCTGAGTGGAAACTTTTGGATCAGTTTTGGATAATTTACAGTTATCGCGCAATTTTGATAGCCCAGAGACCTCATCCTTTTTTTAAATGCATTTTTAGTAGTCTGCTAGCGAAGTTTCATTCTCTATCGGTCAAGTCGGATGGTCTGTTGAAGGAGCCTGTCGAACTGCGTTCCATCCCGCTGATGCATTCATTGCATCTGCCTTGAGCTTATGTGCCTTTGTTTCAAATTTCGCTGTGGTGGTTTTACATTTCGTCAGATAATCACTGTTCTAGTGGAGTGCCTGTTAATAATAATCAGATACATCGTCCTACTGTGGCAAATATCTCACTGTTATATCAAAACACGTCAAATTTAATGTGTTTTTGCATATTTATGCACATATTAACTATGTGTGTTCGGATTTTTGTCGTCCATTTTCATCAGAAGCTAGAAAACTGGAATTTCACGAGAATTCACCTAGCCCATAAGTTCGGACAAAGCTTGCAAATTCGGACAAATTAAATCAGCATTCACGCACACCTGGGCCTCACGTACGAATGCGTGGAAGAGAACGTGTGAAATTAGGGCGTCGGAAACCAATCCAGATAGAAGGTGGGAAATTTTTTGCCCGTGTGTGAGCAAAAAATTTTAAATTTAACGATCACGCACCCCTAAGTCTCGTCTACAGACACAGAGTTGAAATCCAGGCACTGTTAGCAAAATGCCAACTCGTGAATCAGACTGAACTGAGTGCCTGACTTATCGATAATATATGTTGCCACACTGGGCTTGTACATGTAAAGTAAACTGTGGCATATACCTTTTGATGCATTCGGGCATATCAAAGGTATTTGTTTAAAAAAAAAGCCAATTTCGCCAACCAGTTAAGTAGATGAAATTTCGCAAGGATATTCTATGTCTGCGTATAATCCAAATATTCCAGTTCAGCTTTAAGGTTTGCCTAAGTCTTGCATGCTCGCAAGTGAAAGTTTAGCTCTCGGGACACAGTTTACATCCAGTTAACTAGTTAACCGGATTAAGCAAGAAACTGTATTTTTTTGAGGAAGTTTGCTGTTCATAGCGTAAAATAAGTCTCTCCTTAGGGTGTTCCCGGCGTAGTAACGCATCAGTTGTTTCAGTTACAACACCGCAACCGCAGCCCAGCACAGGCAGTCCCTCTGCAGGATGGAATCATGCAAAACGCATGATCGGGTCGGGAATCCTCGTGCGTTCCACTAATTTCACATTTTTCGTCAACAAAAAACTGCTATTATCTGGATGGTTCGATTAATTACTATATAAAAATAGTGTTACAGGAGTGAATGGGACCTCAAAGACTTGTTTGCATAGTCTTGTTGATTTACTGCTCGAAATGACATCATATGAAGATCCCTTTGAACTTCCATTCTCCTCTCTTTTTGAGCCAGCCCTTCGACTCCTGGTAAGTGCATATTTATTATTAATTTCGGGAACTTCAAAAACTTCACATTTAAAACATCGTCTGCAATTTATCTATATAAACAAATGGCAGTCCATATTTTGAACAGAAGATGTACCAGATATCTAACTCAAATATCTGCGCAACACTTTTTATGCGTTTTTGCATCTAATCAATGCAAAAAAGCATCTTTTCGAGGGTTGTTGTCGAGAGGTTATCTGTGTATCTCATTTTGTCGAGAGGTTATATGTGCGTGTGTGTTTGTCTGTATTTGCGTCCATACCGATTTTTCATCTCGAGACTGAAATAAGCTACAAAGCCAAAATTTTAGCGACTTAGTTTACACCTACGGGCCCCTATCCCCAAAATGGACGCTCCTGCCCACGTGGTTTCCAAATAAGGGGCCATAAAAATTTAT